CAAGTAAGAGTCTACCGAGGCTCTTGCTTTCTTAGAGAGCTTTACTTACCAATTTAAAAGAATTTAAAACAAATACATATATACATAGCTTAATAAATCTAGCTGTAAGAAACATATTCAAATACATTCATAATAATAATATAAGGAGAAAAATCAAACTCAGTAGTGAAGATACATAGTCATATTAGGTATTTTAAAATTCATTTAAAAATGCACACTAAGGAAAATCATAGAAAGACTAGAAATAAAAGGATGGAAAAGACATCAAATATGAAGGGGCTTCAAGAAGTTCATGGAAAACTGAAACTCTGTGACATGCCCTCAAATAGTCCTCCCAAAAACCTTGGCATGGCTATAATTAACATCAGATGTAAGAGACTTTAGGGAAAAGGCATCACTGAATTAGCAACCAGACTAAACCCAACTGCCACTAACTCAATTCTTACTCATAGTGAGCCAACAGGACAGAGTAGACTTGCTCCTTTGGGTTTCTGAGGCTTTAAATCTTTACAGGAGCAGTGAGCATCTTTTGCCCTCAATGAAGCTGGTGGGCTCAAACTGGTACATTCCACCCAGACTCCTTACTAGAGTTATAAAGGGTAATTATTTATTAATAAAAATGATTAATTTACCATTGATTAATGATTAATTCTATGATTATTACTGAAAATTCTGTCCTAGCACCAACCCCTATTATTTGTGTTAAAAGTGTTCAGTCATTTAAGAGCTTAATCTATACAAGTGGATGATTCATGTATTGCAGTTCATAGCCAGCCTACACTTGTAAAATTTCCTCTTCTCAACAGTGTTTTAAATACTATAAAATGAGTTAAATTAATGACACTATCAATAGAATTACCTTATTCCCCAGGAGATGACTAATAATGTTCTCTAACATAAAATGATAATTATGTCTCAAAAAAAACAACAAAAATAGATATAAACTATAGATACATGAATGGATTTTGGGTTCACACTTAATTCGATGCCCAATCTAAGTACAATTAGTTCTTATGACATGGCCTTGCTCAATGCTCACCTTCATGAAGAGATCACTAAAGTTACATGTGCTATAGCAAAGTGTGGTGAAGGAACTAGATGGTACCTGGCTATCAGAAAGAATAGCATCTGGGGCCTAAAAGGCTTGCCTTCAAACAAGCAGCCATCTAAGTAAGGCATCAACTAAGTCCACATGGAAGCACAATTGCCTGTTCAAGTATTGTAAATAATAAAACCCAAACCCAAAGGAAGAAATGGTATCAGAGCTTAAATTGTGAGCACCAGGTTTGCAGAAGACTGTGGATGACAATAGAAGTCCAAAATCCATTTGGAGGGTCCAACATGAACTAAACCTCTGGTAAATCCCTATGACCACAGTCAAGGGATGTGAACAGCCTTGTTATGAGAGAGGGCATTGTTAAGTTGGTTATGGCAGATGTAGGTAAGTTAAAATGCATTATGTTGTCATTTGCTCTCCCGTTTGACCCATTTTAAAGTTGTTTCAGTTTAAAACAATAAAAAGTCAAGGGGAAATACATGTGGATTAAGCCTCCAGTGAACCTCCTCTGACCACAGACGTGAGATGTGAACAGCCTTGCTATTATGCAGATTGCACTGACTGGAAAGAGGATTGTTGCAGATCCGGTCAAGTTAAAATTTAACACCTTTAATCTCCTTTTGACCCATCTTAAATTTATTTGCTCCACTTTTTAATATTTCCTGCTTTCTTTTCAATTGTGGTTTTTCTGTTTTACTTTTTATCATTGTTAGCTTTTTATTTTTTGGTATGATTTTCTGTATATGAAATCCAGAATAGGTAAATCTATACAGACAGTAATTGGATTAATTATTTCTTGGGGGTATGGCAGGAGAGATTGAGGAGAAATGGGGAACTAATAAAAATGGGTGTGAGAATGAAGAAAATGTTCTAAATTGATTGTGGTGATT